ACTTTGCACCGAAAGTACGTACAAGGAAATGAGCTCCAAGAAGATATGATGATGCTGGTGTCGTGCCGACATATATGGAAGACGATGTTCCAGACATCTTTTGTCAAATTGGGCGATTGGGTGGGAAATTGAAAGAGGTTTGGTAGTCGAGTGATGAAGACGTCCATAGTGCACACCTTTATATTCTTCTTAATTGCGAGCATCCATTGATTGCTTATTTTGAAAGGTAAATATATAAACATACACACTTATATATATTTGCAATATTAAATATGTAACATAACATATATGATTTTACAGCCAATTTGTGACTCAAGTCGAGGAAGCAATACCTGGTATATCGACAACTGAGTTAGACAAAAAGAAAGATCAACACTTTATCAAGTGGTTGAGGAAACATGTATTTATTATAACTTAATTTTATGCATACATTACCACAAAGTAAGTCTAATGTCTAGTTATATTACTTTTTGTTGCAAGGTTGATTATGACGATCCTGAGTATCCCGCATGGTTTCGCGAATTACTTCAAGGTCCAGTTGCAAAGGTCACTACATCATCGATGTATTTCACCCGAGGCTATACTTTTCATACATACGACTATGGTAGACACCGGGCGACAAGTAATTATGGAATATGTGTGAAAGGCGAAACATATTTCTACGAGATCTTGCAGGAGATTTATGAAGTTCAAATTATGGAATATGTGTGAAAGGCGAAACAGATTTCTACGGGATCTTGCAGGAGATTTATGAAGTTCAATACCCAAGTATGAGTTTGAAATGCGTTATCTTCAAGTGTGAGTGGTACGACCCCGTCGTCAACAGAGGTGTTCGGATTAACAAGAACGGTGTAGTTGATGTCAATGGTGGACAAATGTACAACAAATTCTTTTTTTTTTATATATTCAGGTTTCGAGTATTAATTAATTTTTACACTGATCTTTATTTTTGTAGGAACAACAAGTTCGAGCCTTTCATATTAGCTTCCCAAGCCGATCAAGTTTGCTTCATTCCATACCCTCGGATTACTACCCCAAGAATAAACTGGTTAGCTGTTATCAAAGTTACACCTCGAGGACGGATAATCGCTGGAGAAGAACCACCATTACAAGAAGAAAACACCAATGAGATTGAGGAACCTGAAGCAGAAATTGATGACATCCTACTCATTGATCCGCATAATCGTGAATACGAAGATGTTTCTGATCACTCAACGGATGAAGGTGTAGAGGACGAGTTTTACGAAAATGATGATGTTTCAACAGATTACGAGAATGTATCCGAATGAATTATGTATGTTTATAAGTTTGTTTAATCACAAAAATGAATTTGGATTATATATGTTTTAAGTTTGTTTAATCACAAAATTAATTTGCATTTGGGGTTTATGTGTAGAAGAAGTTAGGAGTTTGGTTGTAGAAGAGGTTATAAGTTAAGGAAGTTGTAATTTGGGGTTTGGGGTTTCGAGTTTAGGGATTTACAAACCCTTTCCTCGTATAGCCCTAGTAACAGAAAACGCAGGCATAGTTGTTTCCTCGTAAAGTTCTAGTAATACCATTACTAGGACTTTACGAGGAAAAGAACGCGGGCATAGCTATTTCCTCGTAAAGCAGTTTCCTCGTAAATTCCTAGTAATGGTATTACTAGGACTTTACGAGGAAATAAAAACACGGACATAGCTATTTCCTCGTAAAGGCCTAGTAATGTTACAAGAGCCTTACGAGGAAACAAAATTCCTTATATAAACTCGAGCAATCTGATTTCTCATTTGTAGTAAGCTTCTCTCTGAATTCTCTTAAGGTTCTCTCTATTTCCTAGTTAGATGATTAGATTAGGGAATTTAGATTAAGTGGTTAGTTTAGGTAATTTAGATTAGGTGGTTAGTTTAGGTGATTTAGATTAGGTTGGTTTACTTTTTTAACTGTTTTTTTAATTATACGGGAATTAATATTTTGTTTAAAAAAAAAAAATTATATGCCTAGACAGAGCAAGATTGCTAAGGCTAAGAGGCCTTTTCAGGGGAGTCACTACGGAGATCTTTTCGGTCGTCACCCAGGCGCATCATCTTCGTCAGCTCCCGGTTCATCTTCGATTCTTGATCCTGACGCTGTACGCGAGACTCAGGGAGTTTCTACGGCGTCCCGGTCTGAGCAACCACCACCTCCTCCACCAGTCGGGGTTCATCCCGTTTTGCAGGTGCCGCCGAACGCACCATTTACGGTGTACACAGTGGAGGATATTATGGCCCTTCCAGGCAGAGAAGGGCTGCCAGAGTTAGATCATATCCGACGGGACGGCCACAACATATTATGGTATGTTTTAATTTTTAAAAAGTGTTTTAATTTATTTCTTAATTAACAAAATATTTACAAATTAATCTAATTAATGTTTTATTTTGTGTCTTTCTAGGTTTGGTCTTGACGGATGTGTCGCTCAGAGCGTCACGGACTGTATCAAGGGATACTTTACCGATGCAGCTCCAAACTAGAAGAAGAAGCCGAGCCACACAAAAAGACGTGGTTCAAATCCTTCGCTGTAAGTTTAATTAATCAACTTAATTTATTTTTAATTATTTACAATTATTAATATTATTGAAGTAATCTGTCTCTTATTTTTTCTCGTTACAACAAAAATATCGTTGGTCTATAGGGATTCACCAGCGGGTGAAGACGGAGTTTGAGGCGAAGGCAAGAGCACGATTGCTTGACATGGTCTACAACTGGAAGGGCGACTTTCAGGTCTGGATTTATAAATTATATATATATATATATATAGTTTTAAATCATTTATTGACTTTAATTCTAATTATTGTTTGTTCAGGTGGATGATTACGAGGATGGGAAACCCGATTGCCTCACATTCGACGTGCGGGATGGCCTCATCAGATATTGGGGGTTGCCGGACTCGGTCAGAACCTCCCACACAAACTCCAGGAACCGCATGACCAAAGACGAACATGGCAACACGAAGATGCTTCACACCACGGGTCGAAAACCTCACGGGGGAGTTCGTCTAGACATGGTAAAATGATTTTTAATAACTATTTAATTTTTACTCTATTTGAATATTCCAAATTAATATTTAATTTTAAAAATTATTTTAGGCAAAAGAGACATGAGTTCTTCCATCTCTGAAAGACCTTTACGAGAGGACCCACCGGAACAAGGCTGGGCAGTTTGTAGATCCTGCTTCCGAGCGGATCTACAACGAGGTTGTTGCCCAGGTTGACGAACGCCAGACCCAGCTGACTCAGCAGACTCGGACTCCAGTCATATTATCCACTCTTGAAGTGGATAAGATTTACGAGGAGGTAAATAATTTGTTTTTCTATTAATTTTTATTATTTATTTAAATTTTTTCTTAATGTTATTAATATTTTTATTTACAGGTCGCCCCTAGGAAAAAGGGGTGTATCGTCGAGATTGGCTCCGTTAACGATGTCCCCATAGCGATATCGTCTTATGCTCAGGAACAACACGATATCAATGCTCAGCTGCGCTCGGAGTTGCAGGAGACGCAGTCTCATGTGAGTTCGCTCACCGAGCATGTGAGTTCTCTCACCGATGTCTTCGACATTTTGGCGGCTGGAAACCCGCAATTGGCGGAGATGTTGCGTCAGAGACGGGAAAGCGGAGGGCTTCCAACCCAACAGTCTCCACCATCACAGTCACAACCAGCAACCAACTTTGGAGAGGAGGATTTGGCGAGCCAGGACGATTTCGTTCGGCAATTTAACGAGTACCATCTATAGTTTTATTTTATTTTTAATTGTATATTATGAATTTTAAAACTTAATTATATATTATTTAGTTATTTATAAAATATTTAGTTATTTATTTATTTTTATTTATAATTTGTTTTTTTTTTAATTTTTAAAAAATATATTATTCATATTTATAATTAATATTTTTTTAATAGGGAAAAAATATTCCGAAGTAAAATCCTCGTAAAGGATTCGAAGTAATGTCCTCGTAAATTGTTCTAGTAATTTCCTCGTAATGTATTACTACGAGCTTACGAAGAAAAAATATACTATGACATTACGAGGAAACAATACGAGAACTTTACGAGGAAAAAAGTTCTACAATGAACGTATTTCGACGAAACGAGTTTTCTTGTAGTGGAGCCTTTCGGAAAGAAAACAAAAAATAAATTTACGCGGGTTTGTCAATTAGGCTCCTAAATGGACAATATCATATTAATCTGAGAATATAAAGTTGGACATGAGATTTAACAAATATACATGTTAAAATGTCATATTCATATAGCTGTCGTGATTTTATTCTTATGAAGTTATGGTAATATATAACCAAAACATACTTAATTGTGTGAATAGAAAACCCCAACATTGGATATCTAATCTAACTGTTGGCAACATTAGAAACTTCAACTTCCTCAAAATAAAATGCTAGATGCATGCATGCATGCAAATTCCTCACGTCAAACTATTGAATCGTGATTTCTTTATACCGTTGAGTCATGATTTTTGATCCAACTGAAAATTTTACTTTGATTTCTGTCATAGTTAATGATTATTATATACGCATAAAAATTTAATGTATCTGACTATTTTTTTTTTTGTAAATCAAGTGAACTAGTATGAACTTTAGTCTGAAATTTACTGGTACTAATTTTGAAATAATCTTGAGAACTCTTACCTAATTCTTATTAAAATAAAACTCTTACCTTAATTAGAATCTTGATTATTTCGAAATCTAATCAGAGACTACAACAAAAAACCATACATCCTAATTTAAGAAACATGTTATCCAAAATATCAAATTTAATCCATATTAACAAAATTTTGTTTTCTTTTAAAGTGACATGGATTCAACAATTATACATGGATTCAATAATTATGCACCAATAAGCTTTTGCTTTATCTTTATAATAATCTTTATATAATATCTTGCACGTTTAAGTACCTCTCTCTCTCGCTCTTTTCCTTTATATAACCTTCACATTTCTTCTCCTTAGCTCATAAGTAATCAAACCTCAAAAAAAATATTACATCTCTCCCTCTCTCTTTCCCTCACTAGCAAATCTCTAAAGATCCAATGGATCAAAACGAACCAATAAGCAAGAAGCTATGGAACATCGTTCGTTTCCTCTTGTACATGATCCGTAAAGGCGTCTCTAAACACAAACTCATCGCTGACTTCAACGCCACTCTCAAACGTGGCAAGAACCTCATGTTCCACCACCGTCGCCGTGTTCCAGCCGCCGCCACGTCCTCATCAACCGCCGCAACCGCACCTCAACGACAAGAATACGAGTTTAGCTGCAGCAACACTCCTAACTACTCTTTTCCCTTTCCCAATATTGGTTTCATGAAGAAAAAGAGTCACAGCAATAGTCTCTTCGCGTGTGGCCAAACGCCTCAGACGCTCGACGACGACGCAGCCGCCGCTAGAGCAGTTCTTGAGCTTATTAACGGTGTTGGTGACAAAGGAAACGTTACTCCGGCCTATTTGTCGGCGGCTTTGTCTCCTTATTTTCCAGGGTTTGGACGGACTCCTTTGGTGAGGCCGTTGAGAGTAACGGACTCACCGTTTCCTTTAACACCGGGAAATGGTGACGTGGCCAATGGACACGTGGACCAAGCAGCTGATGATTTCATAAAGAAGTTTTATAAGAACTTGAATCAGCAGAAAAAAATGATTGAGTTCAGCTGAAATCTAATCTGATTAATGTGCTTCTTCATAGTTCTCTATTTTGTTGATTGAATGCTTAATATGTAATGATATTTTGGGGTTTTATTTTCACATTTCTTGAAACAATTGGATATTGTCAATAAGAAGAATATCATGGGCTTTGTCAATAAAACTAATGTTTTAGTAAAAAAAAAAAGACTTATAATGACTAACTAAGTTATATTTTTTTTGGTAAGTGACAATGATCATGTATGGACAAAATAATTTTGTTTAAGTTATTTTGAATTTCCTTTTATATCTTTTTTTTGTCTCACTTAAAACATAAATTATGCAGTATTCTTCATATCGTTCTTTGATTAGTATCTACCATTTCGTACGGTTTTGATCTTCTTTTATAGCCTTTTAATTATTTGAATTCCTCATGAATACATCTGAAGGTTGCACAGTCTCATTCATTATTACTCACTTAAAAATTAAAATCCGTGAATTTTCTGCATAGGCATCATATTAATTTTATACTATGTCCCCGGACTCGCTTTCCAAAACATCTACCACTGAAACACATGCTTAGAAAATTATATTATGGTGATATACAGTAATTTTTTTTATAAATTAATAATGTTGAGACAACACAAAATTATATATTTTTAATTAATTTATAAAGATTATTAATTTATCGATATATTAATTAAATTAAAAATTTAATTTAAAATTGTGTAATTATATTATTTTATAAAAAAATTAATGTATATTAATTTATAAATTATTATTTTAAAAAGATTATATTGTATTAGATAATATACTTTGATGAAAAAAACACGAAACTTAAAGTAGTCATTGCAAGCTGTTTGGCTCTTTCCCTAAAGCAAAAGAGAGAAAAGTACTTTCTTTTTCAACTTTTTTCTTTAATTTTCTTTATAATATATTCACAAGTTTGAAATCATAGTCATAACGATCAGCCAATTACCTATCAGAACAACAACTCTACCACTATCAGGAAAAGCTTATATATGTCAGAGTCAGTAAAAACTTCTTTAGTAATCGTCTTTATGGATAATTTGAGTCCAAAAAATCAAGATTGAAGAGCGAGGTTGTAAACTATTCTTTCCTTAGTTGGGATATAAAAGTGATTAAGACAAATGACAATTAGACAACTATGCATGTGTTTAATTCACACACATACATGTAACTGTAAATATATTCATGTTCTGAAATTATGATGTGCAACGTACGAAAATATGTTACCTCATGCTTTAATGGCAGTAAAATCTCTAGATAAGATTATATAGAGGAAAGTAAGAAAATGGTGTTTCATGTATTCTGAGAATTGCAATGGGATTCCGAAACGAAAACAGATCGGTCAGAATATAGACAGGTTTACGTGTTTGTGTATGTTTGTTGTATTTGTAAAGTAATCGATATTGTATAACACGGCTAATTTAGTCAACTTCTAAAAAGGGGATTATATATAGAGTATACATATGTAAGATCTATCAGAAGTTATATTGATCGGAATTAACAGTGAAAGCTCTATAGGATTAAACGAGTCCAGAAACAATTAAAAGAAATAATATCCAGTGATTCAATATAGAACTGCATATATCACCAGATGTCCAACCTCTTAGGCTCTTAGAGCATCTTCAACTCCACTCCAAAACCCACTCCAAACTCCATTTTGCAGTAAAATCATCTCCAATCCTACTTCAAAATTCACTCCAAAATGGAGTAACAAACATGAATACTCCAAATATGGAGTAAACCAACTTATTACTCCAAAATGGAGTTGAACTTTTTTG